TTCTCTGAATAAATATAAATGATACTTTGAAGGAATTCAGATCAGACTTTCTTCTTCAACAGTACAACATGAAAGACTGAGTCATTTGAATAGTTTAGGTTGGAAGGGATCTTTAAAGGCCATCTAGTCCAACTCACACCTGCAATGAGCAGGGACATCTTCAACTAGCTCAAATTTCTCAGAGCTCCATCCAACCTGATCACTTCTGAAATGGACCAAAAGAAAGAACCAGTATTTGCAAAAATTTTCCTGAGAATTGTGTTTCTTGAAATATCCTGATCCCTTATAAAATATTATGTAGTGAAACAGCAAGCAATGTGCACATGTCAGCAAACCTGCTCTAACATGGGTTCCTCTCTCCATAGGTTCACAGAACCTGTCTGGAGTCAGCTTCACTGCAAACTTCCCACAGGGTCACAGCCTCCTTCAGAAATATCCATCTGCTCTGGTGTGGAGTCCTCCACGGACTGCAGGTAGGGATATCTGCTCCGCCATGGAGCTCCATGGGCTGCAGGAGAATAGCCTGTCTCACCACAGTCTTCACTACAGGCTGCAGGGGAATCTCTGCTCTTCTACCCGGTCCACAAAGGAAGTGAAAGATTTCTTAGTCACAGTGAAGAAAAGCCTCATCTGAGGCAGTCACCAGGATAGGAGGATATTTCTTAATTCTTATCTATTCTAATCTCCCCAAGGAGTCAAATGCTGCAGAAATTTCAAAACACAAGTTGTCTTGGCTGTCATTTTTCATTGCTGGTTGGCAGGATTTGCATTCATGTTAAGCAAGCAAAGTCTCTTCTTTTTCTCTCAGTAACAGAGAGTTCCTGAGAAAAGCCTGTGATTCAGGTTTGCTGTTGTGGAGTAGGTAAAGATGTAATGAGAATAGGAGCAGAGGATTGTGGTAATTCATGTTAGCTGACAGCCTGGCTCTAACTTACACTTTGTCTACCTGGGAAGATCCAATTTCAGGTAGTTTCTAGGCTGATCTTTTGCAGAATACACCTTTACAGAGTCCATCCTACTCGACCAGCAGATTTCAAGAACAGATATTCAAGTGCACATATTGAAGTGCTTAGTCCAGGGTTTGCCACTTGATACTGTCTGTAAAGAAAACATAAATATATCCGTAAAGTATCATTCCAAACCCATCAGTGAAGCTCAGGTTCCTCCTTTTGCCCTAACCAAAAAGAATGTCTTGGTTGCATATCATTCACCCACTCAAACTGGAGTTGATCATTAATCAGAGGAACTGTAGCAGGCCAAGATGTAGCAAGTGAGGGGAAAAAAGAACAAGTGAACAGAGTGGTAGATCTGCTGTACTCTAACACCAGTGTGAACCAGCATGGTTAAAGGGAAGGCATGGTCTGCATTCACACTGCAACTTTCTTCTCGTCAACAGCACTTCTACTCACAAGCCACTGGAAACCCGAGTGGCTGGGCTTGTGAAGCTGCTTGGTGTCTGCCACCAAGGAGATTTTGAGAGGATTTTAGGTAGGGGCTGGATTCTAGAGCAGTACAGAATCCAGCTTTGTGGAATAGCTCTTGCCACCAAAATGAACAGGAAAGAATAAGATACATTTATCTTTCAAGACTGCAACTTGCAAAACCCTTTAACATGTTAACCCATTTGTTTATTACTCCTTCACTGATGAAATTACATTCCCTTATGAACTGCCACTTTGTCTTTTACACTGACACAATAAAACATGATTATTTGGGATACCAGAACTTAACATCCTTTGAGTTCCTGGCCCTGAGTCCAGATGGTTATTATCCAAGAGTTACTCAGGTCCGACCATGAACTTGCTTGACTGAAAGCATGGAATAGCAATTATGTCTTTAATTGACATTCATTTTCCAGTAATTATAATGGAGCCTGAATATTTGTTTCAATTGAATAAAAGATGCAAAGAAAATTCTGTCTCATTGTCATCTGATATATTCATCTGCTGCTTTCCCAAATTGGTATGTGGTGTCATGAAGGGAGGAATGATCCTTACATAGTTACAAAACTGACACAGCATATGTGTTGCTGCAATCAAAATACTCTAACTGCTGCCATTCTAAAAATAGAAGAATGGTGGGGAGAAGAGAATTTTTTTTTAATAGGAAGCATGAAATTTCCTTCTTGTATTATTGTGAATCATAGTGAAAAGCCAAAACATTCCTTAAATAACAGAGGTAAAAGGTAGATTACTTATTTTGCAGTACAAGGTCCTACACCTGGGTCCCAGCAATCTCAGGCACACCTACAGGCTGGACAGAGAAGCGACTGAGAGCAGCCCTGTGAGAAGGACTTGGGGGTGATGGCTGATGAAAAACTCAACATGACCCAGAGATGTGCACTGGCAGCCCAGAAAGTCAGTGGAATCCTGGGCTGCACCAAAAGGAGCGTGGCCAGCTGGTCGAGGGAGAGGATTCTACCCCTCCGCTCAGCTCTTGTGAGACCCCACCTGGAGTACTGCAAACAGTTCTGGGTGTCCCCAACATAAGTAGGACATGGAATTGTTGGAAGAAGGCAAGAGGAGGGCCAAAGTTGATAAGAGGACTGGAGCACCTCCTCTACAAAGACAGGCTGAGAAAGTTGAGGCTGTTCAGCCTGGAAAAGAGAAGATTGTGTGGAGACTCATGGCAACCTTCCAGTCTCTGGAGGGGCCTACAGGGAAGCCAGAGAGGGACCCTTTGTCAGGAACTGTAGTGACAGAACAAGGAGTAATGGGCACAAATTGAAAGAGGGAAAATTTAGGTTACATATTGAGGAAAAATTCTGTGCTGTGAGGGTGGTGAGATACTGGAACAGGTTACCCAAGGAGGTTGTGGATGTCCCAACCCTGGCACTGTTCAAGGCCAGGTTGGATAAGGCCTTGAGGAATCTGGTCTAGTGGGAGGTGTCCCTGCCCATAGCTGAGGGATGTTGAGACTAGAGGATCTTTAAGGTCCCTTCCAATACTTAACATTTTATAAACTGTAAATTAAGTAAGTAAATATATTCAATATAAAATTGTTGGTATAAAAAGTATTATTTTCAAAGAGTAATAATATTAATTGAAAAAATTATAGAGAAAAGAAATAGACTTAACCCATACTTCCCTGCAGAAAATTTTTCTTCATAGAACTGGAAGTGATTGAGTAACATGCTTGCCTTTTTTAGCTGAGAACTGGAGTTTAGAATGAAACATGAGATATTATTATCAAATGCTTTTTAGCACTTAGCCTCTTTCCATTCATAAGATTTTCCTCTTCTTCTTTTTGGTGTGCTGGAAAAATTTTCCACATTGTTTGGAGTACTTTACTGGAAAGAGACTGTATATACAGACATCTCACATGGCTCTCTAGGGCTGAACTGTGACCTGCTACCTCAGCCCTTGTACCTGTAAACTGCACCTGCATCTCAGAATTTTTTCTACGATTTGTGGATTTTTCCTTCAAGGTAAAGTACACAGATTTAAATAATATTATTACTCTGCTGATTAAGACATTATGAATTATGTAATGAATGCCTGGCAAAGCGATCACAAAAGGCAAAACAACTAGAAAATTATTTTCTTCTTCTCTCTCATATGTTAGTAAGAAATTAAAAAGAGAACAATTAATATCTTCTGCTCAGCTAGGCAAGGAAATGACTGGCCTTCTGTTAGAAGGTAAACAGAACTTTGGCAAAGTGGTTACAGCACGTAGAACTGACATTTTGGTAATTATTTAATAACAGCACGTCCTTAGGGTTTGTCTTATTTTGTCCCATCTGCTGTTTGTCAGCTGTAATGTCAAACAAGGCCAATTCGAATGTAACATGTCTCTCTGATCTACAGTTCTTGTGCTTGCCGTGTAATACAGGAATGCAAATGCCTTCACTGACCCTTTTTATTCCCTGATTCTGCCATCTGGTACATTTAAATAATGCAGTACAGCAGTTCTGCTCCTTGGTGAGTGATGAAAACTCCTCAGGTGTTTTCCTCTGTTCACCACTCTGTTTACAGACCAGAATACTGTTCCTTGCCTCTGTGATCTAATGTACCAAGAAGCTTTAGCTTGTGTATAAATATGAGCTACCCCAGCTCAGCAGTGCACGCCACAGTTGGCTGACAATTAGCTTGCTCAGGAAGGACAGATTGTCAAAAAGGCAGACTGATAAATAGCCAGTGAAATCATCTCTGTCTTGTATATTGGGCAGGTTTCCAGCTGCTTGGAAAAATGCAGTATGCATGTGGATTTGGCTGATAACTTGAACTGAAATAATTAGCTTCTAAAATGAAAACCACGCTGTCTTTTGTATTATTTGAGTGTAAATTCATAGAGGAATTAAAATTGAGTGAAAACATGATCTTGCTATATATATGTGATATATTTACATTGCAGATTTAAAATTCTGAATATTTTCTTAAGTATTTATAAAACCCATGTTATTTTCATGGAAAAATTCTACAAAATCTTAGAAAGTCGTCTTATTCCAAGCTATATTCTGAATGCAAACATCAACTTTTATAATACTTTATCTCTAAGTCAATATGAGAGAAAAATATCAAGTACATTTAAGTTCATTAAACAAAATCAAACAGTAAATATCATGTAAGACGAGGACTGATCTTGTGATTGTGACAGACACATTTGACCCCTAACCATACCTTTTTTCAGACTGACTAAGGAGCAACAGGCCTCATGCCTGTGATGAATCTGCATGCTGTTAAGCTCCTGGCTCCCATACAAAGGAGTGGGAAGTGCTTCAGAAACATATGTTCAGAGGTGGTTTCAAAACCCAAAAATACAAGATAATTAAAGTGCAGGATAAGGTAGTGCAGCTAAAATGAAGACATCTATCTTGTCTGTACTATTGAGTAGCAGCCAACTACTTCACTCTATAAATATTACCACCAGGATGGGCTGAATTTGAGCTCTCCCTGGACTGTAGCTGGGCTGCTCGCCAGGTGCCTCTCCCTTTCAGCAGGGATGCCTCAAGAGGTTTGAAATTCCCTACCTGAGAGTAGAAGATCCTTCATTACCTAAGGTGGAGAGATCCCTACTTGCGACAGATCCTTGGTAAGTGATTGAAATAGTGCTGATAATATGTTAATGTTATTATTGTAAGAATTTAAAATAATGCTAATAGTAATTAAATATTACTAATCCACAAAACTATTCAATATTGTTATAAACATTGTATAGATAATTCCATTGGGCATGAATGACCAGCCAAGTCTAGCATCATGATTGGACCCAGCCCTCCCTAGAATCCATAAGGAGTTTAGAGTAAGGTGGCCCCACTCTGAAACTCGTCACTTACTGAGGAGGTCTCCCTTACTCTCTGGTCTCTGTGTGAATCATTCTAACTCAATTTGCTTGTATTTTACTAAAAGCTTTTTGTTTTTGCTTCCTGATAGATGTTCCACTGTGGTACTGTATGCTTCCTGTTCCTTCAGCTCAACAGAGATAAAAATGCTGGAGATGACTAGTACCAACAAGCAGCCTGTGCCTTGAACTGCTCAGTAAATAGTGGTATGTGTTCTCACCTCATTTAGGCAATGTGCAGCTCTTACAGTATGCCATGAACCTTCAAAGGAAAAATATTAACACTTACAAATGTAGGTTTTTAAAATTATGTCAAATCTCTAAAATCCTGTCAACATAATAATGACCTGGTTATCACAAATGTTATTCATCTCTCCCACTAAACTCTGAGGAAGCTGTGGGTGCTTCTCCTCAGAAGACCTCTGACAAGTAACTTAGTGTTATCCAAGGTACATCAACCTTCTAAGATAGCCAGATTATCTACTGAGGTAGCTAATAACCAGATTTAATACTGAGAAGTGCTTCTCAATGTGATTCTAGCTTTTCTTGTTTTGTCCTAAGTCAGGTTTCAATAAATAATATTTTTTTTCTTTTGGGCTTATTTTAATATCAGTTATTCATAATGTAGATAGCTGTCAGGAGGGAAGAACTACCTTTATCACAGAGGCAGGGAGAAATACAGTAGAAAATATGAGTGACTATTTGCTGCAACTACAGAAGAAACTTAAGTATTCAGTCCATACATGCTTGTAGGAAGTAAACTATGAACTAGATAAAAGGCAACTTAGTTTACATGCTGTCATGAGATTAAAATAACATAGAGTGATTCTTCTAATAGTAAGAAATAAATTGGATTTACAAAAATTTTGTGTAACAAGTCACTCAGTGGCTCTCTGGGTAAAGACGTGCTTTTAATTGGAATGATGTTGTGAAGGAAATTAAGAACCAACTCAATTCTGAGGAACACTGTGAGGATACAGTCCAGTATTCTAATTATTGCTGAAAAGCGTTTATCTTCATCTTCACAGATTTGAATTAGCTTTTTCTCCGTTAGAACTAATTTTTCTGGGAATACATTTTACTTTTTCTGGGGTGAGAAGATGTTTAGACAAACCAACAAGCAAACTAAAAGCACAGAATACTGCAATTATTAATTGCATTATAAATCATTAAACTTTTGTCTTTTGGTATTGGACTGTGACTGGATGATTAACGGAAAGAAGATGATGTAAGGTTTGGATATTTATCTAACAAATTGTAACAGTTTAGCCCAATGTCTGTGTTAATTTGGTCTTTACCTATATAGAATGATATGAGCCGGTGTCCTCCAAATGTATCGCTGTAGGCAATACCATAGTATGTGCAGCCCTTCTTAATTTATACAGAAGGAGATTTAATCTTCTGATAATTGTGTTTGTGTTCTGGCTTTACTTTGGAAAACATATGTAGTTCACAAAACACCATGTTATCAATAATCACTGTCTCATGCAAGCTTTTTGGTAGCTGAAAAGGTGTATTTCTATTTGTTCCTTTGTTTCTTATATTTATTAAGCACTAGCAATTTAGAGACCACATATTGGGCCAAAGGATTTAATACCAAATGTAGTTCTTACACTACTTAATTCTTATTAATATAAAAGGGAATTTATTATTGAGAAAGCTGTCTTAAAAAGAGTTATTTTTACAAATATTTAAAAGTCCTACAAAATTCAGCGGGTGCTTTATTCTATTATAGGATAACTTCCTCTGTTCCTTGATACAAAATTATCTCAAGAAAAATACAGCCAAACAACATAAGCAGGACTTATCATCAAACAGAGCCATGATAGGCTGGAGCACTGATTTACGGAAAAACAAACTCACTTTACTCCTGTGACCTTATGAATTTTCACAAGTCACTGGTTAGGAAGATGCAAGCCTCTCCTCATGCATAGCCTTAGAGGTCAGGATAAGGAAAGCTCACAACTCACAAGTATGGTTACATATTTTGAACTCATTGTTTACCTTGCATACTATATTTGATAGAAACTGTTCTTCTGGCAGAGGTGCTTGACTAAAGCTGACTCAGATCAGGTACTGATTGACATTTGGTTTTTCTAGACAAAGGTTACCTGTAAGCCTCTGGAGAACCACGGATTGTGGCTGTAAACCAATGGGATTTTGTCGAATACCATCACCAGGAGCCTCAGACAGCTGGAGAAGAATCCCAACAACCTCAGACTGGCCGCTGAATCAAAGGTGAAAAGCGATTGTATGATGTCTGATATATATGATCTAAATCACATACTCACAGAATATGCTCAGCTGGAAGGCACCCACAAGGATAATCGAGTCCAACTCTTCACCCTGCACAGGACCATCCCCAAGAGTCACACCATGTGCCTGAGAGCATTGTCCAAACACTTCTTGAACTCTGTCAGGTTTGGTGCTGGGACCACTGCCCAGGAGAGCCTCTTTCAGTGCCCAGACACCATCTGGATGAAGAACCTTTTTCTAATATACAACCTAAACCTCCCCTGACACAACTTTAGGACATTCCCTCAGGTCCTGTCAATGAGAAAGGATGTAACTAAGTGTTTCTATTCTCTGCTGGTGGTCATTATTTGGGTATGGTGTTCATTCAGAAAGAAAATGTCAGGGCAAATAGTCAAACCTGGTGCAGCTGGCAAGAGCAAATGTACACATGCAAACTGGAAAGAAATTTGAGAATTAGTCTCTGGTTCAACACTGGCAAGTATGTTTGGAAAGAGCGTCTGCCACAAAAAAACCCAAAGGGCTGCAAACATGTGAAGGTCTTGTCATGATACAAGGCTGTAAATATGGATCTGGAGATATATTTTGTTTACAGCTTAACAGGAGAAAACTTAGCAGATATTTTTTCCTATTTCCTTCTATTCCACTGTTCGAATTATTTTTGTACTTTATAGTTTTGGTAACAGAAAAAAAGGAACATGATATTGCTAGAAGTTTTTGGGTGCAGGCTGAATTGACTCAGTTGGAAGGATGAAGGACATAGAAAACAGATTTATAAGAGGTGCTTCCATAGAGAAGTTACTTACTACAGAGAAATAATCCAGTAGAAAACACATGATTATGGGTCAGAGGTTCTTAATTATACTTCTGGCTCTGTCAATTACCTGCTATATGACTTTGAGTCACATGATTTCTTCATTTTTCTCTATCTAAACACACTACCTCCTTCTGTTGAGATTTTACACTCAGTATTTAAGCTTTCTCTTGGAAGCCTTCTTTGCAATCGTGATCTAAAGTGGACTCTCCTCTCAGTATTAGTCCAAAAAATTCTCTAGAATTAAAAATGTCTGAAACATGGGAGAGGAGTGTACTGATTTTAACTCTTTTTCCTACATGGCAAATTCTTAATTAATTTTTTCCCCTAGCTAAAAGCACAGTGTGTTTCCTCACCTTGTTACTTTAGAATTTTCAAAACAGTTAAGGCACTAAATGATGAAGTAAATTCTGTACAATATCACACCCTGTTTTCCCCACTCCCATGTCCCCCAGATCAGTGAGCAATATGTAAAAGCACAAAAAGACAACAGGCTCATATAAGAATCCATAGCATAGCATTCTAGAGGGGTTTTATTGGTATGTTGCCTTAAAGACATTTAGTCAACAAAATATCCTATACAAACCATTCGAGTAATTCAGCAGTTACAATGCTTTGACTCCTACTTCTAAGATTGCTAGAAATTAATAAATTGAGTCTTTTGACAGAAAGAAACTAATTTATTCCTGTGAAAGCACACTCTTGTGAAGTATCCAACTGTCTCATACAATGGAAGGCTAAAACTGTGCAGCTAAGTTTGCAAAGTGTCTAAGGATTTTACAAGGCCTGGATGACCAACTTAAAACATCCTTTTGCCCAAGTCCTGAACACTACAACCCACTCTGGGGCTTTTGGGAGCTTAGACATGCTGTATCTGATCACACTGTTATCTCTAGCTGGTTTTTACATCATGGTTCATCTTCCATATACATTTTGGCTAAATGCATTACTTCACTAAGGTCTTGTTTTAGCCACATCCAACACAGCAATAGTGTTCTTTAGATGTTTTGCAAGTTCATCTGCTTTTAGCTTACCTATAATTTCCAGCATTGTGTGGAGAGAAGTGAGAATCAGCTACCATTCAGTGGCTGCCTGTAATCACAATCACTCTTTTCTGTTGAAGTGCTCTGCCACTAGAAAGTAAAGGTAGGTAGCTAGAGTAGAAGCTTACAGTTAGTTAGTATAGCCAGTACTCATTTGTATGCCCTGGAGAAAGCAAATTGATAACAAAGTGAGGAGCTGCTCCCTGGCAATACCTGATATCTTGTACTTCCTATAAGGTTCAGGGTCCCCAGAAAGAGAAACACTACTGTATACTACAATATTTTCCTTTATGTTTAATGAGATGAAAATTTTACAACCAATCAAACCTCTTAATAGCCCTAATAGTCCTCTGTGAAAAGACTAGAAAATATATTACTCACTACCTGTACAAATTGGCCTGTTGGGAGCTACTCTTTTTGCTTGGCCATTGCTAATTTGGTCTGCCAATTCTGAACAAACACCATTGCCAAACGGTATTAATTCACCATCATATAGCTTGCTATTGGCAATGGCCAGTCACTGCTGCTAGGTAATATCCATCCATTTTCTGTACTTCCTTTGTTCCAACATTCCATGTTTTCCTCATGTTATGTAATTTTGCAGGAAAGAGCTGTAAAGTGATATATTTGAAGATGATGAACTCATTTTTAAAAAGAAAATACTTTCACAGACAGTAGTACACCTGGCTACTCTGAAGTCTTAGAGAGAAGAGATCAAGCCAGAGATTAAATTACAATGATGTAACGAGCTACTGCTCATTATCCAAATAATTGGATTCATGATAAATGATTGTGTGCAGACATATAGTCTGACGAATAAAATTTATTACATGAATCTCCTTTGAAGGTAGGTTGTTACACTACAGTAACACTTCTGATTGAATTGCTTTACTACTGGTGTCATTTTCCCATCCACCTTCTGCCCAGTAAACTAATCAGGAATTTTTACTAAATGTGTAATGGTAGGACTGAAAGGAGAGAACTTGGAATGACAGCTTATCTGAGAACAATATTGGGGTTTGTGTAAGGATGAATTTAGGAATTTACAAGCTACTTTCCCTCTGCTGAGAAAAAAAACAAACAACAAAAAAACCCAAAACAAAAAACCAACCAAACAAAATCCCCAAACAAACAAAAAACACGCACAAATAACCCCAAAACCAAACAAACAGAAAACCCACCAACAAGACAAAGTTTTTTATTGTTCAGTTGCTAGCAGTCAAGACTCTTACCTAGGGCTTGGTTACTCAGATTACAGTTCTAACTTTACCTGACCTAGAGGTGACAAATGCTCAGGCCTGCAGAATCACACCATCTAGTGACCTTAGCAACTCATCCTTTAGGGGAGAGATTTTGACCTTAAAACCGTATTAGCCATAACATGTACTCCGTATAAGACTGTGAGATTAATAACTAGGACACAAAGACCTAAAATCAAGTCTTTGCTATCTTCAAGTTCACGCAAACATTTCAGGACTTATAATTGACCTTTACTATAGCTCAGTAACATCCTGGAAGATCGGATGATTGTTTAGATCTAGGATGATCTGCTTTTTCTGTGTATTTTACAGGCATGTGCTAAGCCAGAGAACATGGGTGATGCAAGCTCTAAAATTCTCTGTCTCCAGCCATCCTGCTCTCCAGTTTCTGTCCATAGTGATTGGACAGAAAGAAGAACACAATAGGCAGCCTAATGTGGACACCACAAGCTATCATTAGTACTTCTTACTCAGCACAGGCAAGAATTGTTTTCTTCAGGCTGAGTCAACCATCAAATGCATACATATCCTAAGACACCTGCATTTTAGATGACTATTATAACTGCCAAGTAATTAATTGGATCGATCTCTCTTTAAATTTAACTAAGAATTCCATATCTGACGTGAAAAATCCTTACCAACTAACATTTTATTGGCAACAACACATTTCTGGGGGAAAAATGCAGTTTGGCAAGTAATATAAATAAATATAGTTTACTCTAAAAACTCTCAACTGGTTCTAGCAAGTGCCTGAGTTATCACTCTCAGTATTTTCAAGCATAAATGTACAAGACATATGTCAGTGTACCTCCAATTTTCTGGTAGCTGAAGCCTATACTTGTTCTGTAGCTTAAATACATTGTTCATAAGACAAAATATACCAAATAACTGGATCTCAAAAGTAGTTAGGCAAGTAAGAATATTTCAATATTATCAGGCACATAACAGGTTAAGTGTGTTCTGAGAATACTCTATTTCTGGCCTGTGAATCATCAGCTGGCATTTGAAGGGGGGATTTAAAAAAAAACTGAGGTGACATCATCTCATCTTCCTCCTGTAACCATGTGTTTGGGGTTTTTTTTATTTAATTTTTAGTCCAACTTTTTGCTAGTATCTTACCACAACTAAACAAATGGAAAAGCTCTTTTTTCTTAGCTTGGCAACTGTTTTTCCATAAGATGGTGTTTTCTGGTGCTTGTAGGAGCAGCAACTGAAGTAAAATTAAATAAAGCTAAGTGTATTCAAATCTCAAACAAATACACATTTTAAAATACACATTAAAACCAACAAACATCACACATGAAGAGTATGTATGTGAAACCATCTCATCATGCATAGAGAGTTTAGTCCTTCCTTTGTGCCTCAGACTTTTTCGTCTTTCTACTTGATTTCTTTTTCACTTGGATTTGTATGAAGAGTTTGTAAGCCTCTTTCAGAGGAGAATCTAGATGTAAGAAACCTCCTTTGCAGAAGGCTGCAGCACCTCCTGAGGAATTTAGCTCCAGGTTTAGGGCGGCTCAGGTGCCACATTAGTGCCATAGAGCTGACTGTCTTTGGGAGGCAGTATGCTCCCGCTGCTTCCCAGCTCCAGCCTCGCTTGTTTATGAACAGGTCGGATTTCTCTGCATGTGGGTGTGTCCAGAAGCCTTGGCCAAAGAAAGAGCCTGCGAGAGGCAATCCTATTATTAGATACCAGCATCCTTCAGGTACACACACACACAATTTTTTATTAAATATGGAAGCAACACCTTGTCAGCTGCCTGTAGAGATGTTTCTTCTTTTAGTAGCCTTCTCATATTAACGTGACTGGCTTTGTTTGTTGTTCATCTTCTCATTTGGCAGTGGTAAAGCATTGTCAATGCTTGAAACACTGATGTGTATCAGTACTAAGTGATCTGAGGCAGTTGTTGAATGTGCAGTTGACTACCCCTGACATTGTTACATGGTGATTATATTGCATATTCCTAGTATTACATCCCCTCACAGCACACTGATGTTTCGAAGTGCATGCTCTGCATTCCAGCCAGACATCTTATCAAGCACCATTCTGTTCCAACCCTGTGTGCATCTCATGGTATTCATTAAAGGTTTTGTAAGATTCCCTCCAGACATGAATAGTACTTTGAAAGTTTCATTTACAGCATAGTCTTATAAGCCTTTTTATAGCTCTGCACAGTTTTTTTCCTCCAGGACAGTGATGTTTGTCAATGCTCAGCCAAGGTAGCATTGGTACTAAAGTTCTCAGAACAGTGAGCACAAACAGGCTGCACACACAACCTAAGTCATGAATTTCTCAGAAACAGGACCGCAAGACTGAAATGTTATTCACAACCATCTACTTTATTTTCAATAGATAGGCACTTCCTAAGACTGTTGAAGTAATTGTAACATTCCTTGCATCATGCTATCTGGTCACTATTGTTGCTGATGCAGGGCTGAAGATGACTTTGGGTTAATGTGAAAAGTTCAAAGTTATATGCTTCAGGTAAGCTGTTTTTCATATCCCATTCTATATTGCATTCTTAGGAGCTTGGTCCAAGGTTTCTGAACAATCCTTTAAGTTTTCTGCCTAGGTTTCCTGCACTAATGAGGTTAATGAGGTGGGTGGAGAGAGTAGGATAGAAAGAATGGCATTTTGATAGGGACTGATAAGTGCAGGCATGCTGAGGGTATTTTGGGAAGCAAGCTAGGATGTTGCAGAAACAGGCAATTGCGTAAACACATTTGCAGTTAGTTGTTCTGGAGAATGATATTTTTTCTTTCTTTCTTGCCTTGCCTTGCCTTCCTTTCTTTCCTTCTTTCTTTCTTCCTTTCATCCTTCCTTTCTTCCTTTCGTCCTTTCTTTCCTTTCTTTCTCTCTTTTCCTTTTTCCTTCTGTCTTCTCATTCTCTCTTTCTTTCTTTCTTTCTCAAAACTGAATTGCAAATGTACTCTTGCAATGGAGTATCCTAGTTAACCAAATCATGACATTAAAACTACTGTGAAATTCAGAGCTTTGTTTCTCTGTATAACTGGCAACCGTCATAGGTGCTGGAGAGAATTTATTGCTCTGTAATTGTAATGATTCTACACTTGGATAAAAATCACCAGTGTGAGAACTGAGCTTATTCTTTTAACTAGTGGGCAGGTATCGTGCATCTTTTCTGTGGTTTCTTTTCCAGGGAAGACAACAATTTTTCATTTTCCCAAACCAGTCTATGAGGAAACTGGTCTTCAGT